TATTAGCGATTTATCCCTTGCTGAGACCGGTATGCCTGGCCTGTGTAAGCAGATATAATCACTGAGGATAATCCTTATCAGATAGCTGAACCCACCAAATACCTTTTCATCCACATAGTGCTTTATTGAATGCAGCAGGGTTACAGCAGACAACAGGATACAGCACATGAATGAACAGATGGTATTTGAAGGGCAGAGATGGTAATGTTTCCGAGCAAGCATATGGCATGTGGCCATATTACAGTCAGCCATGACACCAGACGACCACTTGAAGAAGAAGGGCAATACATTACACATAAGGGGAGGGAATACAGAAAAACATGGTGCAATAACAAGAACGCCCACAAGATGGCAGTATAATAACCAGCTATACTAACATCAAAGATAATGGCTTCAGGAAAATAACTATATAAATTCTCACTTCACATTAATATCAATATGACCTATGACTATGCCTTGTGTCATATTCTTATAACTGTGTAACAGCAGTAATGCAATAAAAGAACAACATTTACAAAACGGTAGGGCATAACATGAATAAGGACCTTTTAGGAAACAGGCATGGGTTGTGATGGATCATTTATAACATACATTTAAAGGGAACCTGATAAGATCAACATTTTGCGAGCTGCAGTTGCTCAATAGGAAGAAAACATCTAGTTTATCTAAGTAAATCTACAAGTGAATATCATGCACTCATAGATTTATAGATATACCAGTATTTTCACCCTTGGGCCTCTGTAAAGATCAACAAATATAGAAGGTCCTGAGAAGTGTTTACTAGCTTCAGCAGTCTCCTGTTACAACATTTGGTATAGAGAATGATGGCAGACTGCCTCTACAAGTCTTGAGATTAGAAGACAGAAGCTGGGCAGACTGGCCTTTACTCCATTGCTATAGGCAGACCCCGTTCTTGGTGCATATCCCGGATTCTAAATGGATGGAGGGGAGGCAACCTAGTTTTTTTTCTTAATCTGAAGTAACTGTGCTCTTTAATGGTAATCACTGCACATAAGTACTACATTCTATAGACTCCAGCAAAGAGCCTATGATTTTCTTTCTGTAGATATTTATTATAGCCTCAAGTAGAGGAAAAGCAGAAGGTAAAACAGACTTAAAGGTTAAAGATGTTTGTTAAGGAATTAATCATCCTTTGGACTGATGCTGTGATATGGTTAGACAGCTGCCTCGGGTACTTTCCCATCTTAGATTTACCTGCCTTTATACAAAGGTCCTTGCTCTTATTTCTCATCTAGCATTTGTTAGTTGTTTTTTTTTTATTCAGAAACATCACAATCAAGTCATGTACTGCAAGCTCAGAGCTATGATTCATTTCCTCCAAAGGTTAAAAACGACAAAAAAAAGGCTGAATGAATAGGATAAGTAGAACACGAAATGTAAAAGAAAAAAAACTGTGCTGAGTTGTTTTCTTGATTTTAAATGAAATATCAGAAATATTGTTGGTGAAGTCAGCTAAAAAATTTCAGGGCCAAAGTTTATATGCCTATTTTGGCTATTTTGACTGTTATGCTAAGATAATTTTTGGACATTTTTTTCAGCCCTTTACATGCCTTATTTTTGTACTACACTAAAGGTGTCTTCTGAGTTAATAGATTAGTATGCTTATAACAAATTAGCTTGATTGCCTTTGTAGAGATGCTTAGAGACATCAAAGAATGCTTGTCAAATCAATTTTTAATTGCTTTCTTCTGCAAGAGGTGGGCATTGGGAGTGGTTCTCTAAAATTCTCCCTAACCTATCAATAGGAACACATGTGTCTTTTGAATATGAATGTACATGCTTGTGTAGCGATTCTTGTTAGAAAGATCCTGTCTATGAACAACTTTATTCTTCAATTCAATGCAAAGAGCAATGATGACGTGCAAAGTGCAGCAACTCATGCAACAAATCGTAAACTGAGACCTGATTAATTGCTGTGAGTTACAGCACTTTGTTTAATCATTGTTCTCTACACAGTCCGCAATACTTTTCCATTTCAAGTACCCGAATGTTTGTTGATGTCTTTAAGAAGGAACTACATCATTAAGCTGCTTCTTTTGCTTTTGAGTAAAACCTCTTTGCTAAACATTAAGCTGTTTCAGTGTGAAATGAGCTTGTGGTGGAGTAAATGGGCTTTAAAACTAGTCTAAGGGGCAGAGGCAAACTCACTGTCAGGTCTATTCACCAAAGGGTGAAGAGTTTCGAGAAGTGAACAATTTAGGCCAAAATGGCTGATTTGGAAAAACTCTCCAATTCAGCTCACTTTCCAGTTCAGCTATGTTGTTCTAGATTGTTCACTCCCAAACGAGTTTTAACAACACAGGGTAAATAGCTACATTTCTTTACCTCCAGATCTCTGCGGACATTACCTTAGATCATATATGTAAGAATCTGTGGAGGGACTCAATCACTTTTCCTGCCAATCTGGCAGGCGTTACAGGCAACCTGCTACAATGCATATGGGGAGACAGTGATTCTAAAGTATAAGACTTTGCTGTACTGCATAAGGTCACCCTCTTCTCCTTTAAAAGTGCAGTGGGGTATCCCTGACATAACTCGGTGTTGCCCTGTGTTGCACATCTTTTCTTCCTCTCTTCTCCAGCTAGAAATGCCATATGGTGAAAGGTATGTTGACTTTTCACTGTTTGCTGTGGAAATTAGCAACTCACTGATTTTACTTCCTTCCTGAACTTGCTTTTTAAATGAAGATGGTATAGCTGGGAGCAATACTCAAACTGCCAATACCTGCCTAGTAACTTCATAGAAGAAATTTGGCAGCAAGCAAAACACAAAAGTGCACACTAAAGCTACATACATTTAGCGTGATTCACCAAAGGTTGAAATTAGATTACATGTCTTATTTTGGCACATGCTAACTTTTTTCACTTGAAGCCGATTCAATAAACTTTTAACACTCCAATGTCATCATAAGCAATTTTGTTTGCGTAGCGCTCCCCTGATCTCCAGAGGCATAGTGTGGACCCCCATAGGCAGGGAGGACTGACATTCTCACGGGTGGATTGAGAGAGAGTATAGGGCTTAGGACATCCATGGCAAAAATAGAACAGAACAGACTTCAGACTTACCAGTTATTTTCTGTATTCCACAGTGTAGAATCGATAGGAGAACAGGCTGATTGAACAACTGGGTATTAGACCAACAGCTGAACAGGGATAGGCAGGAGATCCTTAATAGAGAGACACCCGACTTGCTCCTGAGGTCTATTCTAGTATCAAGCACCTCCAGTAGCCATCCAGCTTTTCTGGTTCTCTTCCTCTAACAGCCACTGACCCATCCAGGGTCCACATGTAAGGCCTCCTTCAGGCTTGAGGCCTAGTCAAACAGGGCAGGCTGGAACTAGACTGAGCACATGGCAATTCCCCTGAGTATATATGTACTCCCCAGCATGCACCACTGTCCATGAAACCCGCAGTGATTGGCTGGTGAGCCACGCACTCATAATGTTCCCCCATTGGCTGCCCCCAACTGCAACGGGGTCGCACCCAACTCAAGCAGGTACAATCAACCAAATGAAACCTCTGGAATGAACCAAATTAATGGCAACAATAAATCAGCTACACTGATTACAGTACCGGCAACACCAAATTTCTAGTAGCATCATATTTGCGTGCACACATTTTTTCTTGAATTAGGACCCTTGCGGGTAGTACAATAGTATAGATGTCTTTTTAAAAGAAAATATTCAATAAACACCACATGTAAAGACTGGGACCCCTCACTTAGGCAGATGCAAGAGACCCAAATGCAGAAGGAATAATAAGATGACCCACCATGATCAAATATATTCACTATGCTACTCCAATCACCTGGTTGATTAAACATATCGCACATTTTTTAGCTACTGAGCTCCAGTATTATTCAGGCAATTACAGACCCCTTAATATATAT